GAACAAGACAGAAGCCTACCACAGAGGGTCTCTGAAAGAATCTACTCATAGAGGTATGGAAGCAGAATCTGGGACTCATAGCCAACTTTGGGCAGAGTGCAGGGAATCTTATGAAAGAAGGGGGAGAAGAAAGACCTGGAGGGGACAGGAGCTCCACAAGAAGAACAAGAGAACCAAAAAATCTGGGCACAGGGATCTTTTTTGAGACTGATACTTCAACCAAGGATCATGCATGGAGATAACCAAGAACCCCTGAACAGATGAAACCCATGGCAGCCTAGCATTCAGGTTGGTTTCCCTAGTAAGGGGAACAAGGACTGTCTCTGACATGAATTCAATGGCTGACTCTTTGATCACTTCTCCCTGAAGGGGGAAGCAGCCTTCTCAGGTCATAGAGGAAGACAATGCAACCAGTCCTGATGAGACCAGATAGGCTAGGGTCAGATGGAAAAGGAAGAGGACCTCCCCTATCAGTGGACTAGGAAAGAGGCATGGGGGGAGAAGAGGGAGGGAGGGTGAGAATGGGAGAGGAAATGGGAGGATGCTACAGCTGGGATAACAAATCCATAAATTGTACTTAATAAAAAATAAATCACTTTAAAAAAGACTTGAGTATTCTTTATACAAGCAACAGGACATTTACAGTAGTATGTTGTTTCTGATTCGTTACATAGATGCCACAGGGAGAAGTTGGGAAGATGATACCCAAGAGAAGAGTACATTCAATTGTAAAGCTGAACCAGGTGTGTACTTCTTTATGCATAATTTATGCTGTTTTCCTGTTAAGTTCTATTCTAGAATTCAGAAAATCATGCAAAGTCTTGCTACCCATAGGTGCTTATATCTTGTCCTCTAACAGAAATACAGTACCTCAGCCGTGCATCAGCCTTTTCAGTGTATGAATATTTGTACTCAGGGATCTAATCTTGCAGGATACCAACTATACTATACCCTGTCTTCAGTCATTTTTGAAATTTCCTAAGATCACCTGACACTGCTTACACAATGCAGAGTCCTTGGCCCTATTTCCACCCAATCCGAATCTCTCTGTTATCATGCAGCCTACTACCATCAGAATTTGAAAACCAGCAGGAAAGGGAAGAGAGCGAATTCCAGAGCTGTCTTTTCTGCCCTTCTTATTCTTTGTCAGTCTGAATCCAGACCTTTCTTCAGGCTGTCCTTCCTCCAGTTCACAGAGCTGAAAATGCTGCTCAGCTTGATGTAATAATGATAACTATAATCATACAAATTGCATATTCCACTCGGTGTGGTGCCACACCGTGCAGAGAATTGATGGCCTTATACAAGGCAGTAATGTATCAAAGCTGCAGGACCCGTGTAGAATGCAGGATCCGCCAATGCTCTCCTTCAGTTTATGCCCCTGTAACCTTGCCGCCTCTCTCAGTTGCTGTACCACAGAACAGGTAATCCATCAAAAGAGAAACATCATAAACTACCCTGCTGCCCTCCAAAGTGCTTTATTCTTTTTTTCTTCGTTTTCTTTTTCTTCATCTGCCTTCTGATTTCAGCATCAAAGCTAGAAGGTGTTGTGAGGCGGTATGGAATTCTTGGGGCTCTCAGAATCCTGACCACTGTGTTTCACTCCTCAACCAACCTACCCTCTGCACTTTTATCAAGGAGATCACCTCCCTCCAGACTCTGAACTAGTCAGAGATGGATCACAACAAAGAAACTACCTGAAGGTCAACATTAGTTTCTACTAGATTTGACAAGGAGTCTAATTCAACATACAGCAATTGATAAGACTGTACTCAGAGGTCTGTCTATCCGGATGTTTCCGCCATCTTCTGTCTGAATTTCCGCCGCTGTCTTTATCTCTGTCTCTCTCTCTGTGTGTATGGGTGTGTGTATGTGTGTGCCAGAAGCTTGTGTATGATACCTTGTTTGTTATGTTCCACATTATTTTTTTAAATTTTTAAAACAGTGTATGTGTGTGTTTGCTAACATGTATGTATGTATGTATGTATGTATGTATGTATGTATGTATGTATGTGGACTGTATGTGTGCTTTGTGACCAAGGAGGCCAAAAGAAGGACTTAGATCTCCGGAACTGACTTTATAGATAGTTGTGAGTCATGATGTGGGCACCAGGAACCAAGCCCAGGTCTTTGAAAAGCAACAAGTGTTTCTAACTGCTTAACTGTGTCTTCAGTCCCACCCAGCTTAATTTATTCTATTTTTTGAGACACTTTTACTCAATTTAAAGTTTACATTTTGGCTGGATTGGCTGGCCAGTCTCTACCTACCTCTGTCTTCTCCCTAGCGTTTGGATTATTTATGGGTGTCTTGCCTAGCTTTTTGTAAGGATGTTGGGGTGTGAACTCTGGTTTTCATGCTTGTACTAACCATCTCCCTGGCTTTGTTTACCTTGACTTGGTTTAGATTTTTTTTTTTTCTGAGAGAAGGCCTCATATTGAACTAGTAATATCCTTGCCCTAGTTTTTTTCACAGTATTGTTACATATTTGCATGTTTCTAAACAATAGTGCTAAGTTTAGCAGCTTTTTAAAACTGATTTGCACAAAGTGATTAGTTTTGTTATGCCATTTTCATACCTTCCTAATTTCACTTTTGATATTACACATACTTTTATTTATTTTATATTGTACTAAGTAACACTTATTTAATTGATATGTAGGCAAACTTTATGTTCATTGACACATTGTATTTTATCTATTATATTGTGTTTTATGTGCATCCAGTTATTTTAAATCCAGTTTTAAGGCAAATAAGTAGACACTTGAAGTGCTTCTAGTTATTTTCTTTTGTATGTTTGTTCTCTAGTTAAAAAGTGGTGTTTTCCTAGGGCACTGTTTCTTGTGAAACAAAATCTAGGTTATAAACTATTAAATCTATACAAAGTAATTGCCTGTGTTGCACATGAGTCATTGTTCAGTCCTACTCGGGAGGCAAGCCACAAAGCCTCTTAGGCATTGTTTATGACTGAGGACGTTGTTAAGTGGTTTGCGAAGTAGGCCCCCTTTGTTTCCTGCCCATTCACCCCTTCTTTCATTTCTGTGGTTAGATTCTCAGACATCAATACCCCACCCTCTGCCCCCTGACACACAAACAATAAAGGTCATTCAACATGAAAATGAAAATGTAACCTAGCAATCCTAAAAAAAGCAGCAAAGAGATCTACAGTGTTTGTCTCGTGCTGTTTATTATTTCATAGAGGGTATATGAACATAGGTGCCCTTGCACTTGCAATGTCTGTGGGACCGGCTAGGCAATTCTGCCTAGCAGGCTTCCCTCAGCGTAAGTCTTTCAGCAGCCAGTGTCCACTGATTTATTTAGGCATAGCTCATCTCTTGGACATCTGCTCCTTCTCCATGTGGCTCATCTCCTTTTTCCCCTTTGGCTACTGAGCTTTATGGTCCATTTTGAGAGTTTTATTACTCTGGCAAGCATGACCATATTGCCTTACCAGTCTGTTTCTCAGTAAGACAATGCTATGACTTGGCTAGTCCCTGCATTATTGAATCTCCTCCAAACATATTTTACCATGAAGAAATGGGTGGAGGAAGATGTTCTCCTACTTTGTTCCATCCTGAATCAAATGCCTTATACATAGCTCATTCTTCATTCTTGCTTGGTAATTTTGCATTCTCCACAGTGTAGTTGAGAATTATTTATAATAATAATAATAATAGTGGTGGTGATGTTGGTAATAGTAATAGTAGTAGCATTAATAGTGGTTGTATAACATGTTGCAGTTTTTTTTTCTTTAAATTTATTTTATTTTAGCTTTCATTTATTCCTTGAAATCTTTAAACATGTATACAATATATCTTCGACATTTCCATCTTTCACTCTCCCCTCAAAGGCCTCCAGAAACCCCATCACATATTATCCCCAATTTAATGTCATCCTTTCTATAATTTATGTATTTATTTCGTTTCCGTGATTAGCACTGCTACATGCCCATGGACATGAGATCATTCATTGGAATATCAGAAATTCACCTGTGGATGGTCATGATCCTAAAGAAAACTGGCTCTTTTCTTTTCAGCCATCAAGTGCCAATAGCTCCTCAGTCAGGGTAGCCCCTCAGAAGCTCCATGCTGGAATGTTTAACTGGCCTGTGTAGGTAGCGTTCATGTGTACAGCAGCCATGTTCATGTTATGCCACGACTCCTGCTCAAGTTTTTACATTCTTTTTACTTCCTTTGTCATGATGTTCTCTGAGCCTTCGGGTGGAGAGGGCTGGATTCCTCTTCATTCTACCTTTGTTGCCAAAAGCCCCTCAGACAAGCTGAGCTCTAAAGGGTGAGCCCGTGAGTTAGCATTGATTTGTTGTTTATGGATTTTGATGAGGAAGAGCATATCAATGATCAAACCCACTGTGGATAAAGACTACAGAGTTCTATCATAATAATGTAGATATGAGTGTGTTAATTGGGACTATAAATTAAATAATGTCACCTAAATGCCTAAATATTGCTGTGAGAATGATTATTTAACTTATTTGTTTCATTAAGAAAGTAGCTATAGGTATTAACATCAACTAGAAGACACAGTTTGGACCAATAAAATTTTATTTGCAAGATAAATGACAGGAATGATTTGTTTTACATTCCATTGTGTATTGTTGCCTGGTTTAAGTATTAAAATATGAAAACCACTTAAACTATACTACCTTAGTTAGTATGATGCACCAAAATTTACTATTTTCCTAATTATTCTTTTTTATCTTTTCATTATTATTATATTATTTTTTATATTAGTTACAGTTTATTTACTTTGTATACCAGCTGTAGCCCACACCTTCATTCCCTCCCAATTCCACCCTCCCTCCCTCATCTCTTCCCTGCCCTTCTCTAAGTCTACTGATAGGGAGGTCCTCCTATTCTTATGCATAACAATGAAAAATAATGAATAAATAATAGGTTAAAGTTATATAAACATATTCATATGCTCTAAATTAATACTATGATAAAAGTCATGATAGCATATGTCACCTTAAGGCACAATTTATTGTGCTCCCTTCAGCATTTGCACTAAAATTAGAATAATACAGAGAAAATTACCATGGCCACTGCACAAAAATGACATGCAAATTAATAAAGTGGTTACATATTTTTCAAAAGAGAAAATAAAATAGTCATCTGAAGTAGATGAAAGGAAGGAGCTGTATGGGAGAGGGGTAGTAATCAGGTGTGGGGAGAGCGGGGGAGGGGAAAGGGAAGGGAGGCCTAGGAGAGAGAATGGAAATAGGTGGGGGAGCATCTCTGGGGCAGAGAAAGCTCCAAGAGTCTATATGGTGACCCTAGCTGAGATTCCTAACAGTGGAAGATATAGAAGCTGAAGTTGCCACCTCCTGTATTCAGGAAGGACTTCCAGTGGAGGGAGGGGGGACACTAACCCACCCATAAAACCCTTCACCCAAAATTTGTCTTGCCTATAAGAAATGCAGGGATAAAGATGGAGCAGAGATTGAGGGAATAACAAACTAATGATTCACCCAACTTGAGACTCACCCCAAGGGAGAAAATCAGTTCCTGACACTATTAATGATACTCTGCTATGCTTGCAGACAGGAGTCTAGCATAACTGTCTTCTGAAAGGCTTTCACCCAGCAGCTGATAGAAACAGATGCAGACACCCATAGCCAAACAACAGGCTGAACTCCAGGAGTCTGTGGAAGATTAAGAGGAAGGATTGAGAGGGCCAGAGGAGTCAAAGACACTACAAGAATACCTACAGAATAAAAAAAAAAAAAACCTGGGTCCGTGGGGGCTCACAGAGACTGAACCACCAATCAAAGAGCTTGCATGGGCCAAACCTAGGCCTCCTATACCTATGTAGCAGATGTAGCTGATCAACATGTGGGTCCCTTCTCCCTAGCAGCCTCAGCAGGAGAAGATACACTTAGTCCTGCTTCAGCTTGAGAGTCCAGGGTGGGTTAGTACCCCTAAGCCTCCCATTTCTGAGAAGGAAAGGGGAGAAGGGGGAGGAGGGTATGAGAGTGTGGCTGAGAGGAGAGGGCAGAAGGGCCTGGTATCAGGCTGGAAAGTGACTAAATAAAAAAACGAAAACTCTTTCGTTTACCAGCTTAGAAAAACCAAAAAAAAAAAGGAGCTAGAGAGAGACAATTTCTTGATGGATCCACTTGTCAACAAATTTGACCTTTCATTTTATTGGAATCAGAGATCCTTAGAGCACACATAGAGTTTTGTGTAGTCAATGACTACATGTAGCGTAGATTGAATTTACACTGAGAAAAAAATAGTCAGGATTATTGGAAATCTGTAAATAAATATTTAGATAAAATAAAAATAAAACCAATAATCTTATTACAATCAGTTTTATACATATTCATGGTGATGACCACAATTTTAGAATATTAGTTCACCTACAGTATCATTAAAAGTCAAAGCCTCCTTTGTTCTAAAAATCGCATATGCTTCCCAATCATATTCACTGTTGAGAGCATGCATTCTTTGTCTCTTCCTTTTATTTCTTTTTCTTTTCTTTTTGGTATTTTTAATCAGTGTTGTGTTGGAACTAGACTTTTCTTTATTGCTGTTTACTTATTTATTTTCAACTTTTGCCATGCCAACAGTACAATTGATTCTAGACGATTTACAAACATCCTACAGTATAAATGTTGTCTGTGGGGTTTTCATACATTTTTTTTTTAATGTTGATGTACATTATTTCTAGCCCTATATTCCCTTAATTTTTTTTCATGAAGGTATGCTGGATTTCAAATAAAGACATTTTTGCTTTTATTGAAATGATCATTCCTGGTTCCTTCATGACTCTAAAGCTAGAAGCACATGGTTGTTAAACTGTTTTACTGGGATGGAACCATACTCCCCCCATGTATTATATGTGTGTAAGCTTTCTTTGTTGTTGTTGATGTTGAAGAGATAATTTATTAGGCCTTTTCTTTCAACAAGTAGGAACCTTAGCTGGGTGAGATCTGGCCTTAATGACACCAATCCCTTCATTCCATTTTGCATCAGGGCTCGCATTTCTTTCATTATAAGCCTTAGCTCCAACATCAAATTTCCTGGAGCTCCTTTGTATCTCAAACTACACATTTATATTATTTTTGCCCTGTCTTCTCTTTCTCGTTGTATACCTTCATAAGAATGATCATTAATGCCAGGAGTCACAGTTAATAGTAGGCTGCCTTGAAATCTTCTCTGCCATGAAATTAGCCCTAAATGTTCAGGTTAGCCTCAGGCAAATTCTTAGAACAAGGACAAAAACAATCATATTCTTTGCTAAAATATCACAAGAATGGTCTCAGGTTCATTTGCTAGTATTTTTCTCATATGAAACATCTTGGGCAAGGCCTCCATAGTTCAAATTGCTCATAGAAATATCAGTCTTCCAAGATCCTATTAAATGATTCCTCAAACCTGACCTCCAAAATTAAACTGCTTTCCTAAGTCTGAAGTCCAAAAATTTGCCACATTCCTTAAAAAAAAAAAAAAAAAAAACAGCATGGACCTAGGTTTCATGGCCATGATCCACTCTCTGGAACCAACATCTGTTTCAGTTAGTTTTCTAATGTTGTGAGGAGACATTATGACAGAAGCAACTTATAGAAGAGTTTATGGGAGGCAGTGCTATAGTTTCAGTGCTGATTCTATGACCAGGGGACATGACAACATACAGACAGACATGACACTGAAGCAGTAGCTGAGAGCTTACATTCTTTTCTTAAAAAATGAGATACCTTACTCAGGATGATCTCTAGTTCCCACCATTTGCTTGCAAATTTCATAATTTCCTAGTTTTTAATTGGTGATTAGTATCCTGTTGTGTAATTGTACCAAAAATTTCAGGCAAATGGTGAGAACTAGAAAAGATCATCCCGAGCGAGCTATCCCAGAAGCAGAAAGACACACACGGTATATACTCACTTATAAGTGAATATTAGACATACAATATAGGATAATCATACTAAAATCTGTACACCTAAAGAACCTAAGCAAGAAGGAGGACCCTGGGTAAGATGCTCAGTCGTCATTCAGAAAGGTAAAGAGAATGGACATTGGAAGAGGGAGAAAACAGGAAACAGGACAGAAGCCTACCACAGAGAGCCTCTGAAAGACTCTACTGATCAGGGTGTCAAAGCAGATGCTGAGACACAGCCAAACTTTGGGCAGAGTTCAGGGAATCTTATGAAAGAAGCGGGAGATATAAAGACCTGGAGGGGACAGGAGTTCTACAAGGACAGCAACAGAACCAACCAATCTGGGCACAGATTGCGACTGATACTTTTCTGAGACTGCTACTCCAAACAAGGACAATGCATGGAGATAGCCTAGAACCCCTTCACAGATGTAGCCCATGGCAGTTCAGTGTCCAAATGAGTTCCACAGTAATGGGAACAGGGACTGTCTCTGACATGAACTGATTGGTCTGCTCTTTGATCACCCTTCTCCCCCAAGGGAGGAGCAGCCCTACCAGGCCACAGAGGAAGACAATACAGCCAGTCCTGGTGATACCTGATAAATAGGGTCAGATGGAAGGGCAGGAAAACTTCTCCTATAAGTGGAGTTGGGGAGGGGCATGCATGGAGAAGAGGGAGGGGATGAGGGAGGGGGCTACAGCTGGGATCCAAAGTGAATAAACTAATAAGTAAATAAATGAATTAAAAAATATGAGAGAGAGAGAATTATATTAGGGGATGGTGTAGGCTTTTGAAACCTCCTAATCCTCCCCTAGACATTTCCACCAACTGGTGACCAAGCATTCACACATACGAACCTGTGTTCATTATCACTAAAACCATCACAAGAAGTTACTGGCTTTATTTATCATACAGTTTTTATTTTTGTGATGAGGTTTGGGCATATGGGCTTTCTTTGTTAGTTCTAAGTCTGATATAGACAGAACAGATTATGGAAGAGGAAAGAAGTGTGAGTAAACTGTGAGTAGATAATGCAAATGATTTGGTAGGTGTGGTGTCAGATGGAGAGAAGAGACTGGGCTGTTTTGCACAGGATGTGACTCTTGGTTCAAGCCTGGAGTGTAGGAGTGGATCTGACTGGATAGAGAGGTTAAATGTGGGTGACGAGCATGTGAAATGTGGTTGAGAGTAGGCATGGTAGATGTTGGTAGAAACCTAGATGGTGGTTGCAGTATAGGCAGGAATAGCCAGCCTAGGCTGGGCACAGAATGTGGGATCTAGTCTAAGTATGGCATGTTGGGACAGGCGTGTAGAGGAGGGGATCAGAAAAAAACTGACTGGGCTAGACTCTGGAGAAGGATACAGGAGGCAAAGCTTAGACATTGGATGTGGGACCCAGGCTATGTCCCATGGGGAAGGCTCAAGGAAGCGAAAGTCAAGAAGACTCAAAAAAAAAAATCAAATTTAAAAGAGTATTAATGAGATAAATATCAAGTTTAACTTTGTTAAGAAAGATTGTTTTGGTTTAAAGAATAAATGAAGCTGTTCAAATTAATTTGCATTTTGGATATTAAAATACTTTTCGACTATCAAACAAAATAATAGACTTGTACTCTGACCTTATGCAAATGAAAAGGAGACAAAAAGTGACATATTGCAAATCATTTCTTTTTTTATATCTGCATGTGAAAGTTCAAACCTACAAACCAGGAGAGCAGCAATCCTGTTTCCTGCTGGATTCTTCTTTTAGAAAAGGTGTTAACTCTTGAAGATCACAGCAATCACAAACAGTCTTTTGCTTTGTTTATTATTTTGCAAGAGAAAGTATCACTTTTTAATAGTTATGGAAGCCAGCTATTATATTTAAAACTAAATAGTCAGTCAAACTAACAAAATTCATCCAGGATCACAATAATATTAAATGAGATTTCATGTTTTCCATCTCAAAGAAGAGAAAACCAAGCCTTTACTAAGGCAAATGATTTAGTTAGTGGAAAAGAGTCTCAGACTCAATGAGCATTTGTTCCTCCCATGTCTGACTTTAGTTCTCTAGACTATACAAATATCTTGTGGCATTTTTTTAAAACTCATTAATCCTATACTTTTAAGCCTGTGATTTTTAAATCCTGGAAAGTGAAAAAAAAAACATGAAATAATTAGTAAAAAAACATTTTTTTCCTTAAAAGGGAAGGCTAAGCCTGTTATGGTGGC